GACGACGGACGACGACGACGACGGACAATCACTCATATGATAAGCTCCGCTCGACAAAGTCGACAGCGGAGCTAAAAAATGTGTCATCAGTGTCTGTGTAAAAGGAATGCGTCATCAGTTTACACTGTATGTCACAAAGAAATGTGTCATCAGTATATGTGTAAAAGAAATGTGTCATCAGTATGTGTAAAAGAAATGTGTCATCAGTGTCTGTGTGAAAGAAATGTGTCATCAGTGTCTGTGTAAAAGAAATGTGTCACTTTAATGTAAACAAATAATATTTGTCATGTAACACTCATAATAGAATTGAGTGAAGACAATGTAGTTTGTATCATCACATTGATAGAAATATACAAGTGAAATTGAAATATACATTATCAGTATGCAGTTACTGTCACTTTTTCAAGCTGTAACGACCATACAGCCAGATGAAATTTAAGTTCTTCTTCTCAGTGCTATCCCCCCAATTATGGATAACAAAGGAAGGAGTAGCCAGACAGATGGAATTTGAGTCACATTTCATCACAAATTCAAAAATGAAGTCTATATAGCAATTTTCTTTAAAAAGATTTGGACAAACATAGTCAAATTTCTAAAATCAGGGTTAATTTCAAGAAATATTTAAGGGTATAAGTTCAAAGGAGGAGTAGCCGAACAGATGGAATTTAAATTCTTCTCTGCAGTGTAATTTTCCCACTATATTAATAACCTTCATTGTTTTTTTCAATTCAAGCATGGCATTTCAAAGTCCCGGGAACTCTTGTGAAATACAAAGGTTATATTATTTTAAATCAAGGCAGATAAACCCTAATTATCTTGTAAGAAAATTAGTCTGAAATAATCCAGTCTAGTCTCAAATGTTGACAAGACTATTTCATATTCACCACATGTGTAAGCATAAATATATATATATATATATATAGAATATATACCTGGTCTTTTTCTTTTTGCATAAGGAGAAACTTTTCCTGCATTTCTTTATTTCCTTTCTTTGCACTGTCACTCATTACCCATTCAATAATACCCTGGAAATAATGAAAAAATTACACATTTACAAAATATTGCCAACTAAGCAATCAGGACGAACATAAGTTAAACAAGGTGGAAACATTATCATACATAAGATAAATGAGTGTGTTTAAAACATACCTTGTTTGCTAAATTCACTTTCCTTTCATCTTCATACTGCAGTGACAATTTTTCTTTTTCATCCCAAGACTGACGCTTTGTTACCTGTAGATCATGCACTAAATCCTGTCAACAGACCAAATTAACAATGAGTAGAGTACAGATTTCAGTAACAAAGAACACAGACAATCTAATTTCCACACAAAATGCAGACAAGCATAGATTCAATCACTGATTTACCTGCATTCTGAGTACGTCTTCTTTATTAGCTTCCTGACCAGGACCAACATTTGCTAATTTATCACGTATTTTACTGATTTCTTCCCTCAGTTCTTTGATAACTCTTGCACTCTCATCCTACACAGAGGTGATATTCATAATTGTAAGCATTTACATATAATCTATAAAGTCTATTTAATGCAGGAAAGTAGTAGAGTGGCAACCATAATGAGAAATTATCTGCGTTTCGTAGATTAGAAGATAATTGCTATCTATTTGTATGTAAATTATTCAGGTGCCATTGCACCTGCTCCGATTGGTTAGTGGCTAAGTAGCCATGTGCTCATGAGTATATAGTAAGAAGAGTATTCTATTGTATTCAGTCTTGGTTGCAAACAACTCGCGATGTCCACACCGACGAAAGGCCTCAGCGAACAGATAACACCACCAACACCAGGCCTTGCTCGACTATGTTACTAGCATATTACCACCATGGTAGAAGACCGTTTTGCGAAATTTAAGCACGACTTGTCCTAACAAAATAGCGAAGCTCTTGGGACAGCGGCAAATGTGGCGGAGGTGATGCAGTGCCTGCATACCGTCTTGGATGCCACTACTAAAAATGCTGTGGCGAAAGCAAATATGCTCTGTATGGTATGGTTCTGGTTTCTGTTCATATGAAGCATATCAAGATGCTGATAAAAGCAAATTTGGGTGGGGTCGCAGTCAGATCTGTCATGACTAAGTAATTTTGTAAATATGTATTTAACGTGAATAATTTATGTTGCATCATTTTGTATTCTTGTTTACCTTCTTACAGGGTATGTAGCCTCTCGGCATATTCGCATTTCGGCATGTCTGTATATATTCGCCTTTCGGCATGTCTGTATATATTCGCCTTTCGGCATGTCTGTATATATTTGCCTTTCGGCATGTCTGTATATATTTGCCTTTTCGGCATGTCTGTATATATTCGCCTTTCGGCATGTCTGTATATATTCGCCTTTCGGCATGTCTGTATATATTCGCCTTTCGGCATGTCTGTATATATTCGCCTTTCGGCATGTCTGTAATATATTTGCTTTT